TATATATATATATATATTAAAAATATTTAATATGTATGAATATAAGATACAAAATTCATATATTATTGAAAGAAATAAGATTACTAATATTTAATATATAAGTAAACTAATTTATAACTTAATATCTAATATAACTGAAAATCGTTAAATTACGTAAACCTCATATTATACCTATACGAGTTGATTAATGATAATTTTTCTTCTCATCTTTTATTTTATTTGTTGCAATTAATTTAATAAAGAGGAAAATTGAGAAAAATCAATATTTATCTTTTATTTATGGTCTATCGTTTCGAAAAAAAAAAGTATTTATGATGGCAGGATCAATAAATAATATAAATATAAGGGTTGGAGGATAATTTGGGAAAAAATGAGAGGATAATTTGAGAATAAATGAGTGGAAGTTAAGGCCAAGATGGTAATTTTAAGTGACCCACTAAGAAGGATAAAAATATCAACCCAAAAATGGGTGGACAAAATAATCATGGGAGAAGTGATTAAATTAGATATGATGGAGGACTTTGTAGCCCTAACCAAACCAAGTATTTGAATGATATCATTGGATAAATGTCTTCATCTTGGGATATCTACTTTATTACAACCACAATTAGTTTTCAAGTAAGCCATGGAGTACCAAAATATAGGGGTGGATACCGAACCGACAAGGCGATCTTTCTTGGGCGTGGGCTGGGTTGGGCTGAAGACCATGCATGTTATTTTTTTTTTAAAAAACTATTAGTTTAAAAAAATATTTATTTGTATTTCAGGCCAATTCAATAAACCAACCTACTAAACCACCAAAATAATTTACATTTCTAATAACTCCAAAGACTACAAACACCACTTTAATAAAATATTAATATTATATATTGTTGATGCACCATTTTCCCTAGGCACTAATCCATAAAACACCACTATACTCCAAGATTCAATCAAATAAATTAGCCACGGCCATGCCCCTCTTCTGAAAACCATAACAATAAATTTCGAAGAAAAAAGAAAAAAACATATTCAACAAAAAAGAGACTACTTTCAAGAAGATTATAGTTTCTTCTTTAATAATAAGTTATTTTTTTAAAGCCCCCATTGGATATTTATTCCATTTGTCTAATTATCTTTATCTATCTTCTCATTTTAGTTGAGCTATTTAGGGTTTTAAATGTAATTTCTATGATCATTTGGTTGCAATTCTTGTTATGTTGATTGTGTGTGTGTGTGTGTGTGTATTTTTTTTTT